CCCTTCACCTTCGCCCTCCCCCTCCCCATCAGCTATTTTTATACCAAATTAAATAAGTCAAAACATGATTACGCATATCATGGACGTATTTCAAAAGAAGAGGGCTATTGAAACAGTAATATTAATATTTGGAGTACAATTTATTATACACCGGTTTTGTAACACATAGGACGATACACCACAAATATTGTATAATACAAAATAAAGTAGCAGTGCTAGGTCATAATTTAGTATTTAATCTGACCAATCATGTTTAAAATTACATTTTGATCTATCTAGTGATTCACCAAGATTAAGGGGTATTGCCTTGTTTTCACTTTTAAGACACACTCAATAGGTTAATATATTGCTTGTCAACAAAAGTAGTAATAACCTCATCAAAATAAAGTACTGAAACATAGATCATGCGACTTAAGCCCAACTCAGACAGCGTCCTACAACGCAACCTGAAGCGATTTGTTGTCACAACGGGTCTGTGTGCGCTAAGGCGATAAGTCTGTGCCGGGGACAGTCGCGTTGTTGTAGAGTGTTAAACATGTTTAATGTTTTCATGAAGACTTAAAGACTGTCCTCGATGATAACCATGTCTGAGTTGGGCCTAACTTTCTGAACACCTCACATCATGCTTTTATTCTTCGTCATACTTCATTGCATCGATGAAACATTTTAAAAATGGAGGATAATCACCTCACTGTCGCAAAGAATAATAGTCGTTTTGGTTTTTAATAGTAACACAGGCTAAAATCTATGACAATGTATCAAATTTATTAATAAAGGTTGGAAAGTGACATTTTGAAACATCATAGAGGTATGTTCTATGGTAAAAAAAAAACATTTTTACCCAAAACAATTCCAAACCAAAATTTGTTAGCTTTTGGTTCAGTCAGGCTTGAGCAAAACATCTCTTTCTTTTTGCCTCAACCAGAACCCAGTGGTGGTGCTAGTAGGAAAGGTGGGGAAGGTCAGTGGCGGGAAAAACACAAGGCATTGCAGCGAAATAACATTCCATGCAAGTATCTACAAAATAGACTGTTAAAAGGTTTCGGCCTGGCCCCGCCACCGCCACTATCGTCAGAGAAATCGGCCCACCCCTCCTCATTGGGCAAATCCTGGTGCCACCACTGTCAGAACCTTATAACATAAAAAATACCTCATTACAAAACTTCTTGAAAATAAACAACTGAGTTAGACGCCAAATTTAAAAAACTGCCGCATTGAATTTGATCAAGATGTATTATATAGTACTATATTTCTGCAGAAAGAATATTTATAAAATATATTTAGTTTTTAAAACCTCATAACATTTTCAAAATAATTTTATGTAGTGATTTATTCATCAAAAACTTGGGTGTACCTCAAAAAATAATCAGCTGTTCAATGAAATGTTTTATATATAAAAAAATAATCTGTATACTCCAATATATAACATCCCTAAATATGCTCTTTAAATTTTATATACTATGCGAAAATTTAAATCATTGTTTTAATTAAAATAATCTTCATTGGTATAAAAAGAAATATGTGAAGATATAGAGTGACCTATATAGATTTCGTACTAATCACATTAATCTAGAGCGCTAGACAATATTAGTTCAAAACTGCAGAAATCTCATCAATTTATGTCATAATTCATTTTGTAAACATTGTTCTTTGTTTCCTGTGAAAATGTTAAAATCCTGATTTTTCTATACTGTGATTGGCTACTACTTGGAATATACTGTATACACAATTATGACATAAATATGTGGGAATTCAATTTACACAATGGTCCATAAATATCTTTTTGTGATACAAAACATTGTATTGTATTATATAAATGATGGCTAAATAAGTACAGTACAATAAAACATTGTATTGTATTATATAAATGATGGCTAAATAAGTACAGTACAATAAAACATTGTATTGTATTATATAAATAATGGCTAAATAAGTACAGTACAATAAAACATTGTATTGTATTATATAAATGATGGCTAAATAAGTACAGTACATGTGTAAAATTAATCTTTTACTTATGTTCTACTGCTGTTTGTACAATTAAGATCCATACATGTTTTTGCAATAAGGTATATGTTATCAATAACTACATTATTTCACCTAAATGTGATACAATGATCAATTACTATAGTTTACCAATATGACGTGATATGGGATCGCATAGTTGGGAGTCTGGTGCCATATGCACACTACAGTTTTGGAAGCCGACAAAATTTTGTAACACCACACCGCAATGATGTTTTGCATGCCAGATCATTTCCAAAAATAATTTACTCTGACTGCCACTGCTAAGCATCAATCCTCTCAGATCATCTATTACTATCTTCTGAATCTTGAATAAGTTTTCAAGCTGACAGGGAGATGTTGCTGTTTTCCGAGGCCATCAGGAAGAGCCTCTGCTTCGGCAATACCTCCAGAGCACTCAGGTTTCCTTTGAGAACATCTGGCCTGATCTTGGAAATGTAACAATTAGCCTAAATTAGACAAAAAAAAAATCCAAAAATGTTAATAAAAGTGTCATGTTGTGTTGTTGTCCAATATATCTTTAAAAGAGATATCACAAGCATTTTGTGCGGGGAGCCCCTGTGGGGGAGAAGAACAAATTATATGTAATTTTTACATATTTGTAGACTCAAAAATCGATTAAAAAACCTATGAAACCCGTAAATCGTCAGTTTTCAGGGATTTCCCCCTGGATCACTTCCGAGGGCTTTTAAGCAACGCCAGACCACGCCCACTCAGGGACATTAGGGCCCCTACCCTGTCAGAGGCATCAGCCCTCCCCCCACCCCACTTGCAAATCCTCGCTCCACACCTGAGGAATGGTACTCAGAGAAGATTCATACTTATTAAAAATGTAATAAGATAAACTGTCTCAGGTTTCTTATCTCATAAGATACTTATTCTTATTATTATTACCTGTGAAGATATGGAGTTGTAGATGCCTATTCGGTTGGATGTGGTAGATGATACAATCTCGTTGCGACTGATACAGAAGCAATGGACAGGCTCGCCAATACCTAGTAGTAACCAAATTGATTAAGTGTTACTAGATGCATTCATTTACAGACTAAAAGCAGGGGCAAAACCAACCTGTTAAGAAAGTGTGATGAATATCTGGGCAGAGCAAGGGACTTAGGGAAAATTTTTGGTGTGAGGGGCAATGCTCTCTTGAAGCTCTAGCACTTTTATTAATTTTGATGTTGAATTTGATCAACTTTACTATCTAGCATAGTGATTTTCTTATAAGCTTTGTAAGAAATCTTCTTTACACAAAATAGTGAGATGTATGCTCCTGGTGTCCCTGCAAAGTGTCAGGGAAAAAGCCATTTGTTGGATAGGAATAAGGCTAGAAAGTGTTTTGTTGAGATTTTCAATTATTGCAAGTTAGTATTTAACGTTGTGTAGACTTTGTTACCCACTATAGAGATCTGTATTGTTGGTAGGTGGTTTATTACTTGCAGCTAGTGCATTCTCTTCAGGAAGCAACTTGGAAAGGTCAAATTTCCCACTGTGATGTCATCATCATTCAAGCTCACTGAGATTATCTAATAGTAGTTACTATCTTATATGCCCTTATTACATTCTTGATTTAATGATGATGATGATTATGATGATGATAATGATGATGCTGAAGATGCTGAAGATGATGATGATGATGATGATGATCACATGTTTTACTTGCCTCGGATGGAGGACAACCTATGGCCATCGTCTCTCCACAATGCCATGCTGTGGTCTCCAGATGATGTCACAAAACTCCTATCAGCGTGAGCTTTTATCTATAAGTACAAAAATATCATTCTCAGGGATAAGATGGTAGACAATGAAGGAAAATCTAGGACTGCAAAAAATTTGTCTACTTCACTTTTAATTAAGTAATCTGAATTGACCTTAAACTACACCAAAATTTAACCAAAGGTGTAGAATAAAAAAAGCTTCTACTTGTTCTACAAAAATGAGAGGTTTTATGCCTACCTGTAGAATTTCTCCCTCATGTGCTTTCCACCCACCAAGCAAGAGTCCAGTCCTGAGGTCAACCATTGATAAAACTCCCGATGACAGACCAACACCTAAGAGATTACCATCTTTGTTTACAGCAAGACACCGAATCAAGCCTGCAAGAAAAAAATGTAAAATAGCGGGAACGTGAAAAAGCTTGAAGATCTATTAGAAAAATAAAAACATGATAATAATTTTCTTATAAAAATATATGGTCCTCATTGGGATTTGTACCAAAAACCCTCAAATTATCATTCAGAAGCTCTAACAACTGTCAACCATTCAATCAACTTATATAAAGCCTCATTCAGACTATCAAATTCTATTTGACACAAAAATGTGACATGACTAAATATGGTCATGATGACATCACATCATGACCATATATAGGCACATCATGACTATATATGGGCACATCATGACTATATATGGGCACATCATGACCATATATAGACACATTATGACTATATATGGGCATACAGTATGTCAATGAAAATTTGGTAGTCTGGACAGACCTTAACACAATAACATAAATTGAAATTTTCAAATGTTTGGGATGTCAGTGAACCATAGCCATTACCTGAATGGAAATCTAAGGATGTTTCCATTTTAAACTGATGTAGCAGGCTCATAAAAAAATTATTATTTAACTAAGTGAGACAGCACTGTATTGATACAAATTTTAAACCAATTTATATCACTGAAACTTTAAAATGGTTACCCAGTGGTCCAGAGGTAACCTTGAATTCTTGTTTCATGTCTTTTGTGCGTGTGTCAATCATTCTAACGCTCGCATCAGATGTTCCTGCTAGCAGAGTACAACTTGGAGCGGGACACTTCACCAGAACACTTGCCGAGCTTCTAGGGATGTCGTATTGACGGATCTGAGCACCCTTGAATGGATCCCATACCTGTAAGTAAAGCAAAAAAATAAATAGTGGAGAAAAACTTTAGGAAAGTAGATACTATGCTACAAAAAAGAATTGTCAATTACGGAGGTTTAGCTGCAGATCATATTCACTGTTTTAACTTAACACATTAGAGACACTCACATATAGAGAGCAGCTTAGTTCAGTCGGCTAATCTGGTGGTAGCCGCTGTGTGTGCACTGAACCGTGCAAATCTCTAGATCTCACTGGTTCAATTCCTATCACTGCCTCTCCTTGTGTTTTAGCTAGAGGGCTGAAATACAAGTTACAATAGCGCACTGTCTTTCGGATGAGACATTTAAGCCGTTGGTCCCGTGTGCATTTATGGTCACTGTGCACGTTAAAGAACGCAGTACATTCCTCGGAAAAGAGTAAAGTATTGTCTCCAGGTGTAATGCCCAATCACCACCAGAAGGACCGAACTGGAAATAAGTCTTCTTCTAGACTTTCGTGGGCTATCCTAGGTGTTTACACCGAATAAATCCAATCCAATTTTATGCGACAAATTTGCGTGATTTGTCCATACTGTATATGGGCATGATAAAGTCAAATCACTGGTACTAGTCATATAGAATTTGGTAATGTAAATACAGCTACATATAATAGAGGATCATAATCTACATATAATAGAGGATCATAATCTACATATAATAGAGGATCATAATCTACATATAATAGAGGATCATAATCTACATATAATAGAGGATCATAATCTACATATACAGTGCACCCTCCAATATGAGAACCCTCTAATGCCCCTTTAATTCAAGACCATTTTTTTCGAAGAACCAAATAACAATCCCAACCTATTAACACTAAACTAACCCTCTATGTGCAGACCGAAGCCCCAGACCATCCCAAAATTTTCAGGTCCCAAAGGTAGTCTCGAATTGCAGGGCGAACTGTAGTTATAAATACGTAATAATGATGCATTTCATTATCAAGTGGTTATAAAAAGAAATCTAAAAATTTAAGTAAAAAAAAAATAAAAAAAAGAAGGATATGTTACTATGCTTACATGTACTGTACCATCACATGATGCTGCAAGGCGAACTGATTCCAGAAACGTTACAGAAAACGCAGCCCGTTTATGTAGGTAGTAAGTCCATCGCGAATTTGTTTTGTATGTTCCATTTCCATGACTCCTCAGTGACCACACTTTAACTGTCTTGTCTTTGCTAGCACTAAAAAACGTCTCCTCATTGTCGAGTACATGTAGTGCACGAATGCCTCCATTATGGCCTGAAAAGATGTTAATCATATTACTGATATTGTTTTCTTAAATGGTAATAATCATGGTAATTTCTTGAGGTCTACTAATATGTAATATACTATCTCAGGTAAAACCTAACTCTGAAGAAATTTATAAAAGCCATCGACAATCAATACTTCAAACAATTTTTTTTATAGAAATAAATTATCAATTAAATCACAATGGCTTGCTTCACACAATAAGTTTGTCTCATACATTGTATCACAGAGATAAATTTAAGATCTGGTTTACAGTAATCACAAGAATACATTTTTTTCAACTCACCAACAAAGGATTGTAATTTTAATTGACAAAAGTTAAAATTTTGATCACCAGTTTCTGAAACAAAACAAAGTGAATAATAAATACATGGGCTCTAAAATGGCAATGCATACTAATTACTAGAGAGTGAAAAAATAACTTCCATTAGAATTCCAATTTACCACTATGTCATTTGGTAGTAGTAGTTGCGTATCCATGTGTCATGGAGAGGGATGAACATGTAGGGGTGGGGGAGGCGCTGCTGGGGGGACATGCTATGGCAATGATTTTCAAGTACTTTCATTTCCAGTCATGTTATAGCCTTCTTGGATAAGGCATCTGCATATCAAGCTTACAGATTCTATTTTGAATCCCAATGAGGTCAACTTTTGATATCTTTCCTAATTTTTTTTTTCCACAGTTTACAATACTATACATTATTATTATAATGAACCATATGAAACTAACCAAAAGACATTTTCAAATAGATAATATACATATAGTCGATATAAATCATGTACAAGTGCCATTAGCATCATATATGATGAACACTGGTGTTATATAAATTATCAATTATATTTATTTTTTATTTTTATTTATTTATTTGTTCTTTATACTGGGTTTCCTCTTCAGTAACAAATTACTGTTCTCCCAGAGGACCCAGTTCACATAAAACAGTCCACGACAGGGGCCGGGTGAACCAGTACACCGGGGTAACCCCCTACTCATCTCGAAGGATGTACTGGGTTCTTTAAAGTGCACATGAGCATTTTTGTACACTGGGCCTATGGTTTATAGTCCTTATCCGAGAAGACTTGTTCCACCACCAAAACCATAGGAGCGAGCCAGCCGCGAACCTATGCCGATATTGTTGGCTATGATCACGGTGCCCCTGCCTTAACCGCTCAGAAATTTGGCTTTTTTGTGTGTTTTTCTATTTATATCTATTTTATGTTTGCATGCTGAAAAAAAAAACCATTTTGAAACCAAGAGATATTTTCAAATAGTCAACATACATAGCTGATATAAAATATGAGAAAGTGTCATTAGTGTCATATATAATGAATACTGTTGCTATATAAATTATCAATTATATACTTATAAATTCAGTTGTTTTTTTTCTGACTTGTGACCGCGTTCCTTTTTTGTGTTTTCCATTTTCATCTATTTTATGTTCATATGCTTGTAAAAAATATTTTAGGACATCCTGTTATTGGCAATTGTTTGCTGCTGGATGTGGTTTTTGAAATAAATAAATAAATTCAATAGACTTACCTATATACTGCTGCCAATGTTTAAACCATGTGCCCGATATATGCCTGTCTTTTCCAACATCTCTGCTTGATCTAAACAAATGCATTTAATATATTGTATTATTATAATAAAGTTTAAAGAAAATCATCAGTGTACAGTATATTTCATAAACTTAATAATAGCACTAGTAAGGAGGTTAATTGTTTCATGCTTATATAAATGGAAGGAAAATCAGATATGACATATTTAGGAGATCATCCACATTATAGGTACTGTGTAAACACCTGCAAGGTGTACCGGGTAAAAAGTGCCCCCATTTGGGAACCTTGGACTTGTGTGATGTAACATTAAGTGTATCTCATCGTTGTCTCTAATATTACATTGGACAGCTGCACAACTGCTGGCAACACTTACAAAAACTCTGGCTTCTTCATCCATTTGTTCATTGCATATGAGGAGCTAAGTTGCAGGTCATCTGGACACCCATTCTTATTCAGAATCTGTTCGTTGGAGACGCCAGGCATTGTCACTGAATCGGAGAGGTTGATACGATTGCCGGTCATTGTTGCTCCAAAGCTGCTTGAGTATTCATCCTCTTCAAGTCGGCTTGGCTGAACTGTCCAATGGGAGATTGGATAGAAAGTGTATACATAATATTATTTGCAAGTTTGTTAAATCTAACCTTTAGGCTAGGCAAAGCCAACTGTAAGCCAATCAAAATGTTTTGTTCACCTTAGCATATCAAGAAGCTAGAGGAGAAAGCTCCAACTAATGTCTTCTTCACATAGTTTTTGAAGAAATAAAAATGCTTACCAGAGGCTCCAATATCAACAAACCAGGAAGTCATCCTTCTACTGCTTTCATCTGTGAAAGAGAGCAAAATTAAAATAGCTTACAATGCTGATGTTAAAAATAAAATGTATAATATAACATAACATGTCATTAAAAAAAGAGTGTAAAGACCTTGAAATGCATATTGTTTTGGAATCTATTATTGGACAATACTATCTGATTTTTTCTAATGTATGCACAACACTGCCCTACTGCACAATGAGCTGGGCTGAGCCCAATATCCAATTTTCTTAACTATCATTTATAATTCTTGTTTTCCTCAAAGGAAAAATAAATTCCCAGATTTAATAACGGGTAAACAAGATTTACGCTAATTCATTCATTCATTATGGTTTTTATTAAAAATTGGACATTGCAGTACAAAACAGAATTGAGTAAATTTACAAAAAATCTAAAAAAATACATTATAAATATACAAAATTTATAAAATCAATCAATTAAAATACATTATATCAGTCTCAAAAAATACATTA